AATTAATTTATATTGAAGCAAAAAGTAATCTTTACTATAACCGTGAAGGAAAAGACTCTTTTGCAACTTTTACATCAAAAACGTCTTGGGAGTTGTTTGAACGCCGTTGTCGTGAATTACCAACAGCAGATATTTTAGGGTATAAAACAAAACAGTCTGATGGAAAATATAACAACTCTCAATTGTTTTCTTGGTATAAAGGTCAACAAGCTCTTGAACTTGCAGAAAATATTTCAGGTGGAATTAAAAAAGTGTACAATCTTCCCAAAAAATCAATGGTTGGTATATTTTTTCCTAACAGAGCTGAATGGATTATTGTTTCACAAGCATTGCATAGAATTGGATTAATTCCTATTCCGTTATATGCTACTTTAGGAGTGCAATCAATTAATTATATTATTGATTTAACTGATATTGAACTTATTGTTGTTTCATCTGAAACTATTTCCAAATCTACTGAATTAAAATCTAAAACTCATCAACTCAAATACATTAATGTTGATTCAACAGTCCCATATTCTAATCCTATGAACTTAGACATTCGTTCTCTTGTTGATATTATATCAATTGGTAAATCAAATCCAACTCCAACAGACCTTCCTTCTGTTGATGATATTTATTCTATTTTCTTTACTAGTGGAACTTCAGGTAATCCTAAAGGAGTTGTTCATACTCATAAATCTTTCCATTCTGCTGTTTATTGTTTTACTTCAATGAATATATTTGATAAAGACAATGTTGCGTTAAATAGAACATCATATAGTTATTTACCTTTAGCCCATGTATTTGAACACGAAGTTACATATATTTTTGTTTATGGATATGGTAGAGTTGCTTTTATGTGTGGAGGACTTGGGTGTTTGCTTAGTGAAATTCAAGACTGTCAACCAGATCATCTTATTGCTGTTCCAAGAGTATTACAACGAATTAAAATGGCTATGGATGCATACATAGCATCATCTAATTTTGTGTCTAGATTAATCACACCACCATCATATCTTCTTGGAAAGAAATTAAAATCAATTATCAATGGATCAGCACCAATTACAATGGAAATATATAATTATTTTAAAGAAAATTTACCAAATTGTCATGTTCTTCAAGGGTATGGATCAACTGAAACATTTGGTGGAGTGTGTTGCGGATGTCCTGGATTGAATGATCCAAAGATTCTTTCTATTGGAGTTCCTTTCTTACATACAACATTTAGAATTAGAAGTGTTCCAGATATGGGATATCTTACTTCTAATGATCCACCACAAGGAGAATTAGAAATAAAATCAGACAATTTATTTAAAGAATATTATAAACAACCTGAAGTTACTGCAAATTCATTTACCGAAGATGGATTTTTTATTACTGGTGATATAGTTAAATTAAATGTTGATGGAACAATTAGTATTATTGACAGACGATCTAATTTAATTAAATTGGCACAAGGAGAATTTGTTGCTGTAGAAAATGTAGAACAAGCAATGATTTCAAATAAAATTTCACAAGCATTTGTACATGGAGTGTCTACTGATAATTTTGTTGTTGCTGTTGTCGTTCCAACAAAAGAAGCAAGTGACATGAAAGAACAAGAATTATTAGAATGGATCACAATGAATCTTCATGAAAAAGGAATTCCATCATTTGCTATTCCACGAGCTCTTTATATTGAACACACTCCATTTAGTGAAGACAACGATTTATTAACTCCTTCAATGAAATTAAGAAGAGCAAATTTAAAGAAACATTATGCTGTTGAAATTGACAAAATGAGGACAAAAGTTAATGATATGAACTAACTAAAATATTTTTTAAAACATTCATTTAGTTAAACTGAGTATTTCAAATAAACCCTTTTAACAAATTCATTACTTGTGGTACAGTCACATTTTGGCATTGAATTAGTGTTGAATAAAATATTGATACCCATTGTTGTTTGTCAGAAGGTAAAGTTGAAATGAATGATTTAATCATTTCTATTAAAACTGGATATTTTTGTATTAGTCCAACTAAAGACTTAAATCCTTCTACAATGCAAAAACTCATTCCATAATTCTTTGTTAGTTTTACTCTATTAATAATTTGAGTAAATAATTGTAACCAAATATTAATTCCAATACTTTTTCCGATTTCACCATTTGTCATTAAATAGATTTCAATAGATTTCATACAATATTTTTCTATCATTTTAGCTAATTCATCTGACCTTAACTTTTCAATAATAAACATAATATTCTTGATGAAAATAGTATAATCAAATTCATTAAATACATGATACATTTGTGGTGGAAAAGTCATCAGAGAAAAGATTACTTTAGCAATATCCATTTTTTCTCTAAATAATTCACTTGTTTCATTTAATTGATCTGTTCCATCAAGACTATTCAAAAATCCTTGAAGAACAAATTTAAATTCATTTCCAAGAATTACTACATTTAATTTATTTTGTTTACTAAGTAAATGAGTCATTAATGTTCCTAATAATAATATATCATTAACACTTTCATTTAAATAATTAGACATTGCTTGTATTGATGGTATAACATGAAATTCTGGATTAATTGCTTCAATCCACATTTGAACAAAATCAACAACATACTTTTTAATATTCATTTTGTCACATTGAATTTCTCCTCGAATGATTCGTTCTACAATTGGACAATATTCATTGTATAATGTAAATGACTCTCTTCTACTAGTAAACCCATTTTTCTTAAGAAATGCGGAAACATTCTTTAATCTGCTGCCAATGTATTGTGTAGTAAATTGAATATCTCCATTATTTCCAAGTGAATTACAGTGCTCAATTTCTGGACCAAATACTTCTTTAATAACAACACTTAATCCACTATCAGTTAAGTCAGATAATATACTATACAAATCAACAGTTTCTATTACATTTCTTTTTATCCATATAGTTTCTGCAACATTTTTAACTATTTGTCCCACTTTAAGACTCCATTCTTGTCGTGGATTCATTCCATTACTACGAGCTTCTCTGACAAGGTCTTTAATTTCTGAGAAACATTTTCCTTTTTCAACTACTCCAATAGAGTATTCGATAATTCCATATAAACAATCTCCTGAGATATATTTTAAAAATCTTGAGATTGCTGGATAAATTGGAGAATGTTCTACAGCAATATCAACAAAACGAATAAATTGTTGTGAGAATGTTGTTACATGTTGAGTCATAAATTGAACAGTCTCTGGTCGTGCCATTAATTTATCAGGAAAATGTAATATAAAATATGCATGACATGAAACACTTTCTACACTTGGATTCTTTAAATTAAATGTCATTAATTGTTGTAAGAATTGTTGTAATACTAAACAACTTTGATCTAAATCAGAAGAAGCACGATAAATAGTTTTTAAACAATTAAGTAAATCAGATCCATTATTACCATCATCATCAAATTCATTTTTAATGAACATTTGATATTTAGAATATAAGGCTTGTAATAATATACTTTCTACTTCAACTAATGAATTTGGTATAATAAATTTATTTAATAAAGGAGCAAAGAAATCATTAATTGCCTTAGTAATTCCACTTGAAAATTCTTTAGCCATATCTAATGATGATCGTTGAAAGAGATTAACAAAGAAAATAAAATTACTTGAAAGCATTTCTTGGATTGTGTTAAATACTTCTGGTTGTATTTGAACCCTACCAGTTACTAAAGCCTTCACTGGAAATTTTCTTTCTGTAGCAGCTAATATTTCATTAATAATAACTCCAGAGAGTTTACAAACAGAAGTGAATGAGTCTTCATTAGAATTATTTGGAATTGGAATGAATTTAATAAGTTGTAATGAATGAATTAAAGACAATTTTACCATAGGGTCCATTCCTTTAGAAATAATTTCAGAGAATATAAATATTGTTGGATTAAATAAGGCTGGAGAATTAAGATAACTGTATAACCTTTGTACAAACTCTGAATTAGTTGAAAACGAAATGTCAATCCAACTGACTAATGTCCCAAACAATTCTAATGAATCTTTTACTAAATGTTCATTTGTCATACAACGATAAAGGAAATCAACAATTTCCTTTACCCCATTTTCTCTAAACGCATCTTTAACTTTGTTACTAAGGTCAGTTAATTGAGAAAAAGCTTTAGATTTCTCAATTAACTCATCATTTATTTCTTTTAGTGTTAAAATAATAACTAGGCTTTGAAGTTCTGTTGTTACTTTATTTTTTAAATTAATAATGGTTATTGGCCATTCACTTGGAAGGAATTGATTATTACTAATCATTAAACTAATTGATGTATGAATAGCTTTCTTCATTGCCATACCAGCTGGTTGAGTTAAACACCAATCAAGAAGAGATATTGATAATTGTTTTCTTGTTATTCCATTAAAGTTTTGAACATTTTTTGTTGATGACTCAATAAGTTTTAGTGCAAAGTAAAGAATGGTTTGAGTTATCTGAGGTTGATTTGGATGTGAATAATTCCCTTGGATTATAGACATTCCAATATTAAATGCTTGTGGTTGTGTTTCTAATTGAACTAAATAACTTTCTGCTTCTTGTCTATTTTGTAAACTACCAGTTGTATATTGTACAACGGCATTAATGAATTCTTGTGTCATAGTTTATTTGGTTTTTTAAGATGTCAACAATAATATTATTATTACTATATTATTCTTTTTATTATAAAATATTATTTATTTCTTTAATTATGTGATTCATAACAAATCTCAATTTTGAGGCATTTACTAACTTTTTGTAATGATAAATATTTGATTTCTTTATTAAAAAAAAAGAATGGGATCAAACATTCTACATCCACCCTGGCCGAGTGTGTAGACCCTTTTGAATCAACTATCGTTCATTTGGGGAAAGAAAGTTCATCACATCCCATTAATTACTTACTATTCTTTAATAATTAGATTAAATTAATTTTCATTAAATTATTATGGGTATAATAATAAAGGGTTAATATTTTAAGAAAGTAATTAAAAAAGAACTAACAAAAAACTAGCGTCATTAAATGTTTGCGTTATTACTTATTCTTGCTACGTTAGTAAATGCATTTGTTGTTTGACTTTACTTATAAAATCATTACTATTAAAATAAAAATTAATTAATAGCCTTATAGAAAAAGAATAGATGTTATGATGGAAGAGAAATCTACTGAAAATGAAAAAGAATTATTAACAAAGTTTACTGGAAATAAAGGTATAGTTGATTTTGAAAATAACAAATATGAATATTCTGTTATTTCTTATTTTTCTGGATATGAAAAACAATATATTGCTACAATTAAGCGTGGTGACTCAATAGCAAATGGAAAAGGAAGAAGTTCTCGTAGTGCCTTATTAAATGCACTAAAGAATTTAAATTAATTCTTTGTTATTATATCGTTTTAATGAGGAGAACTAACATTACTCAACAATAAACTCTTCAATTAACATTTAGCAGAAATGTTTTATTGTAAAAGGCATTTTGATTTTTTCTTTTGTTGGGTACTCTAATATGTAAGTGATGAAATATTTTCTTTGACTTCATACTAATAAAAGAAAAATAAAAAAACAAACTTCTTGACTTTTTGCTTGAGTTGTAACAGAAGCTTTGGGAACAGGTTTATTTGAGAAGATACAATCAACTGACTTTTCAAAAACTTCATTCAAACCAATCTTAGCAACTGATGATGCTTCTATATAAGCAACACACCCAAGTTTTTGACATAAATCATCACCTTCTTGTTTTGTAACATCATCAGAACCATCTTTTCGAAGATCAACCTTTAGTCCAACTAAAACAGTCTTTGCAGTATCAATATAATGTTTAATTTCTGGTTCCCATTTAGTTGAAATATTATCAAATGATGTTCTATTATTCACAGCAAAACATAATAATACGACATCTGAATCAGCATAACTTAATGGTCTTAATCTATCATATTCTTCTTGACCAGCAGTATCCCAAAGATGAAGAATAAATTCTTCGTTCTTATATTTCATAACATGAGAGAAATTTTCAAAAACTGTTGGGACATAAGCGGTTGGGATTTCACCTTTACTAAAAGCTAACAACAGACAAGTTTTACCAACAGCACCATCACCAACTACAACTATTTTTAATGCCTTTTTACCATTTTCAATTTTACCAGCACCAGTGTTCATATCAGAAAATGCAAGCATAGCATTTTGTAATGCCTCAGCCTTTTCTCGAACATCAGCGTCTTCAAGGTATTTTCCCCATTCATTAGAACTTGAAATTGAATTGAAATAATTAGCAATATCTTCCTGAATAATAAGTTTTCAATTTGAGATATTTCTTATTGTCTGAAAACAGTTGTTTGTTTTCATATCAACTTAATAGGCGAAAAAAATCTAAAAAGAAACAAACAGTCATCTTTACTTTTTTTAAGATCTTTTTTGTTTTAAAAAATCTAATTTTATAAACTTATTTTATAAAGACTTAATTAAGAAGAAATGAGTGATAAAAAAGACGAAAGGTCAAAAAAAAAAAAAGAAAATGATGAAAAGAATTAAATAAACAATTTGAAGCAACAAAAAGCAACATTAACGACATAAACAACACATTTATTCGAAGAGAATTTGAATAATAGGGTCACCTTTTCTAATAATCAATTCCTTTTTTGTCATTGCCAACCGTCTTGAAATAACCATATTAACTTCTTCTGCCTTTTCAGTTAAACGATCTCCTTCAACAATAATCCTGTCTTCACGAATAACTTTTTTGATAGACTCTTGTTTATTAATCCCTGCTTTCCCTTCAGCATATTTACTTTCAAATTCATATCCTCCACGAATGATTAATAAATCAATAAGTAAATGAAGAAGTTCAATTCTTTTATTATTTTGAAATCTTCTTGTAGCAGTTTTAATAGAAACGTCATGGTCAATATCATCTTGTTTCAATTCTAAACATCTTCTTTTTAAATACTCACTAAGAAAAATAACTTCACCATTTCCAAAATCAAGAGACTTTAATCTCATATATTGTTGAGTCACAACACTTTTTTTAGCTGGTTGCTTAATAGTAATATCACAAAATTCAGAAAGTAAACAGACACATAATGATTGTTGAAGTGTTTGGAAATTCCGTGTTTCTCTGGAAGCTTTTAAAATAGGAATTCTTTTTTCTAGTGGCGTAATACATGTTTTATCCTTTTTTCCTTTCTTTTGAATTTGGAAGGTAGTTATTTGTGTTGATGGTTCACATACCATAGTAGCCATTCTTACCTAGTTTTAATTGATTATTTTAAGTTCAATTAATTCCCTTAAATCTACTCTATTTCCAGTTCTTCACTTAAAGACAGAACGACTCTTTTCCCTTTTTTGTGTTATCTATTCAGGAAATTTTCGTAGGTTTTCTTGATTTTTGGAAAAAGTTATTTTTAGTTCTTTTTGTTACAGGTTATTTGTTCTAAAAGAATAACCAATTATATCTCTACTTAATTAAATGTTTTAATTAATTTAAGACATTACATTATCCCATTGATGAAAAAAAAACATTTCTATTATAATTTAATACTTCATTTCCTGAGGTTCAAACTCAAAACTTCATTGAGGAGATAAATTTCAACAGAATGTAAATTGTTCTATAAAAAAATAACTAATTCTTAATACTATTTTATATTGTATTTTTATTATAGTATAACCCTAAAATTAGGTTTTTCTTTAATTTTAACAAAACAAAGAGGAAAATTCAATTCAATTTTAGTACCTAATTTCCTTAAAAAATTATATTTTTTGAGGAAAAATATTCAAAAATTAGGGTTTTAGTATATAAGTTTCCTATTTTTTTAACTTATATTGGAAAGTATGTTTTATGAAGTGAAGAATGTTTTATTTAGAAACAAAAAGAAGAATTTAAGAAGGGGTTAATTCTGTCGAACAACAAACCTCTGTATTTTTAGAACAAAAAAATGGTTTAACAAAATAAAAAGTAATTAATTAAGTATTAATAGAATTTTCATCTATTCTTCCTAGCTCAGGGGAGACTAATCCCATCCCTGAGCTTATTATTAAAAAAGAGTAATCTCTTTGTTAAACCTATTCTTTATGTTTTTCTTGCAAAATGAGGAAAGCACTTCTTTGTTTTATTTCTTCTTATTAAGGTTTTTCAAACTTCTTCTGCTTATTTCTTCTTTTTAACCTTTTGTTTATTTTCTGCCTTAATTTTCAGGAATTTCATTTTTCTTATTTTATGAATGGGAGAAGGAATCATTTTATTACTACTGTATTACTTTGACTAATCTTCTTTTTAGTCTTACTTTGACTAATCTTCTTTTAGTCATACCCACACTTCAGTATATTCTTATATTACATCCACGTAATATTCTACTGTATTCTCTTGCTGCACCCTTTGCAGCATTCCCTAATACATTCCTAATTCAAAGGCACCGTCATAACCAGATAATAACTGGGAGAGTCGAAGTATGAATTTGTACTAGGGTTTATGTGTGGTGTTTCAGACGTGCCACCTTCGATCTGAACAAAAAAATGGTTTAACAAAAATGAAAAAAAATTATGTTGTTAAATAAAATAATATTTCAAAAAATTCTAATTGAACAAACTATTTGTTTCAATTTTATTGATTAAATATTTATGAAAATATTCCTATCCTAGATATTCCTTCAATACATCATTTCAACTAAAGATTAAAAATAAAGAAAAAAGAAGAAGAGATAAGCAAAGAAAAGAGAAAAAAAGGATTTTGTTATTACAAACTAGAAAAACAAAAACGAAAAAACAAAATGGAGTGTTTCATTTGTCGTTTGTTATTTAGAGGAAAAGAGGAAAAGACAGAAGAAAGTGGTATTAATTAACATTCATCATGTAGATAGAAATATGCATGGAGCAGTAGACCTTCCGTGTCATCACACGTGTTTGTTGATATAAGTGAGAAGAAGAGAAGAATAAATAGAGTAGTTTGTAGTGAATGTATCAGACGATGGTTGAGTGTGAAAGAAATCTGTCCAATATGCAAAAGACCAACAAAACAACAAGAAATTAAAGCAAATATTGAAGTTCAAGAGAGAATCACAAAGAAGCGAAGGGGAGAAGAAAAGACAATAGAAAGAATAGGAAGTAGACAATACAATTTTATGAAAGAAAAAAAAATACGAGCAGAAATTAAAGAGTTTGGATTAGAAATTAAAGGAACTAAAGCAGACTTAATTAAATACCATAAAGAGTATTGTTTAAGAGTTAATAGTGAAAGTGATGCAATAGACCCAATTCCAATTGAACAAATTCGAGCAGAAATTAATGAAAGTTATCAACACACTAAAAAAGAAAAACAGAAAGCAAAGAAAAGAGAAGTTAAAAATACAGAAAGAGATAAAACACTTCTTAAATGGATGATTAAAGATATTCTTCAAAGGAAGAAACTTTCAAATATTCATAATTAATCTTTTTTTTTCATTCTTATTTTTCTCTTTGTGAATAAAGAAGATGAAATTAAGCTACAAAATAAGAATTTTAATCCCCATTTATTTTTATCAAAAAGAATAGAATTTGTATTGTTTTAATGTATTACAATCTTATAAATGAGTGAGTCATTCGTGTTAAATGAATTGTTCAAAAAGTAAAAGTATAGAAACAAACAACAAAAATTGGTTGGACAATGGTTATACAAAAAAAGGTTTTACCAATAAATAGTGTTTTATATAAAAAGGATAGTAAAACAAAAGGTGTTATATCTCTTCACAGATTAGAGATTCCAGAGTAGATTGTTTTATGTTTAAAAGAAGTTCAAAATTAATGGTTTGGTATTACTCTTTTCTATTCATATTTTTTATTTTATTTACTTGATGATATATTTTATTGAGTGTATGACATTGACTAGTAAATTATGTAAACCCATTAACATATTTAATATTTTTAAGTTTAATGGAAGTTATAAAAAATGAAGCTATTTTTCTTCTTAGTGAAAAGAAGAAATAACTACTAATAAAAAGAGATAATGTCACAGTCATAAACTTAAGTATAACAGTAAATAAAAGGGATGTAATATTATAAATTAATTGAGTAGAAGAAATAAAAACTTCAATAGAAATAATCAAAAATTAAAAAAGAAAAAAGAAAATCTTAAAAAATTAACAAATACAGAAAGATAATGGAATCAACACTTTATCTTACAGAATTTCAAGACGTACGAACAGTAATGAAACCACTCTCTGCACCACAAACTACTTCTGATTATCAAACTCTTACACAGTCATTACAAGATAATGATCGTTTGAATGAACAATTTTTACCAATCCAACTTGGACCTTCTTTTGCAGAAAGGATCCAACTTGAAAAGGCTATATTTTCATATGTTTGTTAAATGGTATATATATATTTTTTTAATATTAAATTCTTATTTGTTATAGCCAAATAGACTTCCAGGTTTAGAGACAGCAAGTATTGCTAAAGATATTGTAAATGGTACTGATGATGATATGACACTTGCTGATGATTTTCCAACTGTTTCATATGTTTTACCAACATTCAGTGTTCATGAACAAGTTGAACAACTTTATCTTTAATTCATTACTTTCTTAAATATCATTTTTCTATTTGATGACTTATAACAAAAGTAACACTATTTTTAGGAATAAAGAACTACAAAGTTCACTTCGATGTTCCATCGTTTCTTGCATCAAAACTTTAGAAATAATAAGCTCATTCAAAAAGGAACACAATTTGTTAACAAAAGAATTATTAGTACTGAAAATGATTGGTATGATTCATCTGGTTGGTTTGAAGAAGCAATATTTTTTCAACAAGGAACAAAATTTTTATTATTTCGAAATGGTTCTATTCAAACGTATGAATGCCAAGAAAGAGGAATCATAACGAAGTGTGTTATAACAGATGATAATATAATATGTATATTACATGGAAGTATTGAGTTTAAAGGGAGTATTAATGGGATATGTGAAGGGTGTTATTCTGGAGTTGATACAGATGGGATTACTATATTTGTTTGTAATTCGAAAGGAGTATTCTCTTTAAATAGAATAGATTTTAGTTTTAAATGTATTAGACATGGAAATTATCTTTTTATTAAAATAGATAGACATAGAAAAAAGCTTTATTGTGTAAAGCTTCGTACTATTGATATTTTTAATATTGAAATAGGAACTCCTCAATTTATTAAAAGTATTAATTTAGATAAAGATATTGTTGGTCTTGAAATAGCAGAATTCCCTCTTTTATTTGGAGTTAGTTTAATTGATGGTGAGAGAATTATTTATTCCCATTATAATCAAAGTGAATCAATTCATTTGTATCAAATGATAAATGAACCAATAAGGTCATGGTGTTTTGGATGGTATTCATTTCAATGTTCAATTTCAGAAAATAATTCTTATCAAATAGCCTTTGGTAGAATGATAAAAACATCATTACAAAATATTGAAGAAATACAAATTTTATGTAATACAAATAAACCATTAGATGTTCAATGTATTATAAAGAAAGGATTTATTCAAAATGATGTTATATTTAAAGTACTTACAAAGAATGAAATTCAAGAATATTCCTGGAGTTGTCCATCATATGATATTCCATTTGAATATTATAATACTTTAATTTTAACAAAACAACCAAGTCCTTCTGAAATTATTCAACTTTTTAATACACTGTCATTTCCAAACGAAGCAGCTTTAATTATTACCCTTCATATTATTCCATGTATTTGTTTATCATTAAGTGAAATTGTAAAAACTTCATTTAATGAATTACAACAAATAGAAATTACAATTACATCAATTATAAAAGCATTAAAATTATTATTTCCACCTTCTTTTAACAAAGACCAAACTGATAAAGAAAAAGCGTTTTGGGAAGAGAGATATGATTATTTCATTCTGTTAGACAAAATTCAAAAATCTATTTGTTTACTCAAAATTTACTCAGGAATGAAGACAAGTATTTTATTACCTCAATCATTTCAATACATTTCATTGGAACAACTAATTGGGACAGACAACTGTATTAACGAAGTTCAACAATTTAATAATGAAATTGTTCATTCTACAAAAAATTATTCATTACTTAGTTTATTCAATAATTGTGGTGAATTATTTTCATTGTATGAATGTGTTAAAGAGGAAGTAATAATTAACTTAAAGGATAATGTGTCTTTACCTTATTTTTTAAATTTAATGAAAACAAGTTTCAGTGTTGCAAGGATAGTAGTTGATGTACTGTTAGAACAAAGTGAATATGATTTATGTAATAAATTAGTTGTAAGACTAGAATCAACTCAATTAACTGAATATCATGAAATAAGAACAAATGAATATTTGAAAAGTCAAAACTCATTATCAAATGATGATATGATTGAATCAAAACTTTTAAAGATTGAGATGGTTGATTCTTCTTTAACTCTACAAGAAAGAGAAAAAGAAGTTTTTAATATCCTTTGTGATTTAGCAATGGAAAAACAATCTTCTTATATTGAAAAACTTAAAGGAAGAGTTGTGTTGGTAGGTGAAAGAATTTCTCTTCAAAAAAAATTAATAGTTGAAGGTTATTTACCAGAAAGTTCTGAGTCAATCCTTCTTCCAATGTATCAACTCCAATCAATAAAAAAATAAAATAAAAGGCATCAAAATTTCTCACAAATGTTTTTATGATAAGCATGTATTTTAACTGTGAATTTTTTTTTCTTTTTGAAATTACCAAACGAGATAGAATATTACAAAAAAAAAACAAAACAACAAAAACCAAAAATAGATGCTCAGTTGATGTAATTCTATAGTTTTTAGTATTGATTATTTAATAGAAATATTCTTTAAACAATTATTTCTTTCTATTTTACTTGAATAAAAAAATTGATAAATCAGAATGAAGTTATTTTTCTTTATTATTATAATAGTTTATTAAATTTACTGATTAAACCTTCATTTAATATTAAAGAGTGAATAAATAAACAACAAATAATATAAAAGAAAGACATTAAAATATGATTTAGTAACACAAAACATTCACAAATATTTAAAATAAATATTTAAAACAATGATAAATCATAAGAATGTATTTGTATGATATAATAAAAGTGTAAAAAACAAAAAAGTAGTGTTTAATCTTAAGTTTTATAAAAGAAATAATTGTTCATTATAATGAAGAATAAAAAATGTATTAATTATATATGATAAACATTTTTAATATACAATCATTTTTATAAACAAGAATCATATTGTAAGAAAACAATAAATGAATTAAAATGAAACTAATTAGAAACAAACTAAAAAAGATGACAAGAACTAAAAATTAAATTCATTGATAAAATAAATTAAAAAACAAATTACTAAACTGAGACTAATACCATTTTATTCCACGGAAATGAAATTTATAACTAGCTATGAGAGAAAGTAAAGGAGAAAATAAGGATTAAACAAACCAGAAATACATTCTATTAATACGTACTTATGTATTTTTGATTCAATTCAAAAATAATAAAAAATGTTATAATCTATATAAAATAAATTGGAAAAAAATTCATTCAAGTGATAATTACCCCTCAATTCCTTTTTTTTCTTTCTTTCTTATATAATTTTATTTTCAACTGATAATTTTAATATGAAAATTAGGAAGAAATGATTGCATGGCAAACTACTTCACTTTTTTTCATTAAATTTGTTATCATAATTATTGAATTAACAACTTCAAATTAGTTTGGTATTTAAATTTGGTTAAATATTATTAGAAAAAAAAATGATTTACTTGAAGAAAAAGTGTAATAAAAAAATTAAACAACGGATTTGAAGAAGAAATTTATGTTCTATTTAACGCTTTTTGTTTTTTTTTTAAATATTTCTAAACAAGGAGATGAGTTTCAATATAAATTTTATGATGTTTAGATTCCTTTAATTAGCGTCAAACGTTTTTACATATAGCTTATTCTAATTAACCAAACAAAAATATTAAACAAGTTAATAGCACTTTTTTTTCTTTTTTTCTTACTTCAGACTTGCTGAAATATAATCTAATTGAAATTTACTTCCTTTTAAATAACCAACTTTTTTTTATTAACTGATAGTTTTATTTTTCTTTTGTAATTAATTAAATTCACTTGGTTATTTGATTATTATTATTTAAATAAAAATAAGTTATTATGATGTTTAAACATTATAATTGAATAATTATTGAAACAGAATATCTCTTTATATTATTATATTTTAAAATTCTCTTTTAATAAGTTTATTTTCTTCTCTTTATAAAACATATTACATTCATCAAATATGAAACTTAATTAATAACAACATTTCTTTGATGATTTTTTTCACAAAAAAACTATCAAAATAAAAAAAGTTAAAAAGGAATAATTTTACAGGTAGGAAAAACAAATAAGCAAAGTAATTTCATTTTTTTTTTTTTGAAATTAAATTGAAGATATTTATTGTTTAAATAAAAAGGAATAAAATAGCCAATTTCTTATTGAATATTCCAAAATAAAAATAGCTTTTCACAAAATAGGTTAAAAACTATTTGTCCGTTCGAACTAATTTGACTAGTTATTAATGTCTGAATCAATTAACAAATATTCTAAAATCTCAACAAGTGGAAGTAAACTACCAAGGGCATTTGCTGGGTCTTCACAAAATCATTCACTTACAATGGAATCAATATCTTCCTTATCACCAAGATCTTCTATAAGATTTGCTTCACTAAATCTAACATCAAAAAAATCTGCTGAAGAGACACTAAGAGAATTATTATTCAGAGACAACTCCATTTTATTAAAGTCATATTGTGATAGTGTTTGTTTTCTTTTTTAAACTTACAACGTTTATTTCAATATTAATTATGCTTCTTAGTTATTAAAAAAAGACCCTCAAACAAATCAAATATTTACCCTCATTCTCTTTTATTCTTCACGTGGTAAAATTACTCAATTATTATGTCAAGTTGGAAGACGTGAAATCAAAGAAGCTAAGGCAGGTACTCCTTTGTTTAGAGGAAATACTCCATTTATTCGGTTGTATAGTTATTATCTCTTCTTTTATTGTAGTGATTTTATGAATAAAACAACTTCAGAAGTAATGAATGAAACAGGAATAAATAAATTAAATCCAGATGAATATGATGATGAGACATGGATAGAAAAATTCATTAAGTATTATTCACTTTTAATAGTGCAAAATGCCAATTGCATTCCATGTCATCAAAGAAAGGTAATCAAAAGTCTTCTTTCTTCTCCATCAGTTATAGATGATATAACAAAAAAGAAACAAATATTTTCTACGTTAATGTTCCTTCGTTATCTTTTTGTCCCTTTCTTAAAACATCCATATATTCTTAAATCACTTCAAAAATGTGTTTCAGAATGGATTAGAGAAGGTGAGGACAAAGATAAAAAACAAGGAAATCCAACAGATGTTTTTAATGAATTAAAATTGAGTTTAGATTATCTTTATGATAATGTAGTAAATTCTCCTGTTGGTTTTGAAGTTGGAATGATAAACCTAAAACAACAAGAACAGTCTTTAAATGAATTAATGGATATACTTAAAGACAATTTATTTACACTTAGTTCTGATTATAATGGTGATTTTCAAGAGATATTTAATTTAGTTAAAGGAAAACAAGAAGTAGATACTTCAACTAATATGGATTTTGCTACTGATGAATTAAAACATTGGACTGGAAGTAAATTAGAGATAGCTTCACAACTAAATTGTGAATTAAAATTTAAAATAACAGAATTAACAAGAGAGAATGAACGTATTAAACACAGGATTTCATTTATTAACAACTATTTTTTATAATTTAATCGTTTTTATGTATTTATTTATATTTCTTTCTTTTCTCTAATAACAGAGAGAATATGTTGTGATGAGTTTACCAAGAATTTTATTACGATAATGTCTCAATAGAATAAATATAAGTCAATAACATTAATTAATATCTTTTTTTGTTATTCAATGTTTTTTATTTTAATTTTTGTTATTTATAAAATATTAATATTTAATTTTGGTTATTTAATAGAAAAAAATTTGTGTGAATTATTTTTTGTATTTAAGTATAAGTTAGTATGAAACTGAGACATAAAGAAAAAGAAAAAGGTAAGCAAAAAACAAAAAATAAGGATATAAAACATCATTAACAAAATATAAATTTTTTCAATTAATAAAGAAAAATTAAAAAATACTAATAAAAAAAGTTGAATTTTTTTTGAAAACCATAAAAAACGAAAATTGATGTTAAAATAAGAGTTTCATCGAATTTCGAATTGAAAAGGATAAAAAACTGAAAAAAGTAAATTGTGGGTGTTAAGATGAATAGAATAGTTCATCCACTTGAGAAAGTATTTTTAAAAACAATTATACAATATTTTACTGATTGTTCAACAATTCTGAAGTTCGTTTTTATTAATAAAAAATGTGGAGAAGTACCTAAAATGGTAAAAAAGAATCCATTCTTTTTAAAAAAAGTAGAAAGAGATTGTAATAGTTGTGTTAAATTTATAAGAGAATTTAAATTATTTCCATATATAGATGTATTAACATTAAATTGTAGTTATTTTAGAACATTTAAAACACATCAAATTATGGAACAAGTTAAATATATTCATATTAATGAAATACTAATAAAAGATATAAATTTTCTTAATGGGTGTGAAAGTAAAATACAAGAACTTGGCATTATTATTGAAAATGAAACACTTAATTTAAAAGAATTTATTAATCTTCAGAAATTATTTATTAATATTAAAGGAATAATAACAATATCTTCTGTATTACCAAATAAAAAACAAAAATTAGAATTAATGAAACTTGATTTTATGAATAACAATTTACCTTCTAATATTTCAAATGAACTTAAAGAATATTCTCTAATTAATAAAATTATTATTACAACAAATACTAAACCAATAGAAAATAATAATAATAATAAAATAAATTTCTTTTATGATGGATGGATTGAAAAATATGAAACGGATTTTATTTGTAAAAAAATAAGATTTTTATTGAAAAGAAATGAAGAAGGATGTGATTTAAGTGAATTAAAGAAAGTAATGAAAAAGTATTATCCATATGAAATAAAATTAAATATGAAAGATACATTTAATATTAATTGGAAATACGATTTAAATGAATTAAGAATGTGTAAAACATATGAAGAATATTTTTATAAACGTCATAAAGGAGATCATGACTTTCAAGATTGTATTGATGAAGGATATTCAGTTAGTGAAGAATATGAAAAAGAGAAACAAATGAAATTAAAAAAAATTGATGATGAATTTAATGTAGAAGAATTAGTAAAAGAAGAAATAAATGAATATGAAGATAAAAAATTTAAAGAAGAAACAATAAAAAGAAGAGAAAAGAAAAAAGAAGAAGCAGAAAAAAGAAGAAAATATTTTCCAATAATTGTTAAAACAACAGACATTGATTTATCAGAATATACACAATTAAAAAATATAGAAACAAAAAGTGATATTATTGGAATTAAAGCACCTGAAAATTATAAAGATGGAATGTATTTAAATTTTAATAATTCTAATTCTCATTTAAGTAAGAGAGATGAACAAAAAGTATTTTGTTCAATTAGAAGAAATATGGATTTTTCTAAAGAAAGTTTTATTAATGCAAAAATGATTAAATGTAAATTACTTCAAAAAACATTATTTCCTTCAACTCTTAAAAGACTTACTTTAGAAGATTGTGAAGTTGCAACTTATAAAAATGGAAGTTATTTCCAATTACCTAAATGTGTGACATCTTTAACACTTAAAGGAAATATTGATCAACGTGCATTACATATTGAACGTATTCCATTAATTGAATTACAACTCTTGGAAACTCCTTTTGTAGAAATTAATCCATTTCCACAAACATTAACAAAAATTAAATTAATGGATATTAATTCTTCTAGACTAATGAACTTTAAAAATTGTACATTAACTTCATTAGAATTAGTGTCATGTGTTAAAGCTGGTTTTGTATTACCTAATCTAAGATTGTTTAGAGGAGATAATTCAAATATTTATATTAAAAATATTGACTCAATTAAAGTAAGAAGATGTGAATTATTCAGATGTTTTGTTAATGACCAAGACAAACTTATTTGTGATCATCTTTTTAGTTTTGGAGATATTTGCGATAATCATAACAATCCTTTCTTTGAAACTTATTTTGAAGAATTACCAATTTCTAAATCTGTTTCTTCTTTAAATAAATCACCACAACTAAATTCATCAACATTATCATTGTCTACTCTCTCTTCTTCACCTCCTAATACCCAAATTCAACCTCACCAACCAAAAATAACACCTACAAACCCATTCTCAAGAAGTGCTATTGATGATTCTTCTTTTTCTATTTTTAATGTTAGAAATGAATTAACTTCTTATCAATTACCTCCTCCAACAAATTCTAATTATTATTCCCCATTTACACCTTCTTCATTGAATTATCAGGGAACTTATCAACATTACCATTCAACTTATTCTCCTTCTATTCCACCAAAATAATAAATTTTTGTGTTATAATGGATATCTTTTAAATGATTGTGTTTTTGATTAAATCTCTTTCTTTTAACTTCTTTTGTTATTTTTCTTATTTGTTTAATGACTTGAAGACGATATATCATAAACACCAGACACAAACATTAATAAAAATTCAAATATTGAATTATCAAATAATATATGATTATTATGATGTAATTTAATAAGAAATGAATTGGGTAATAATGAAAGGAATGAAGTAAGATAGTATGAAAGAATAATTAACAAAAGAAAATGATATAAATGATGAAGTTAATAATAAATGAAATTATACATAATAATATAGTTGTAATGAAATATTTATTCATTATAAAATAAGAAAATAAAGAAATGATATTCATTAAAATTAAAAGTGAAAGTCAAAGAAGAGGATAAAGAAGAAGAAATAAACAGAAAGAAGAATGAAAAGACAATAAAATAAATTATTCACAAAACATGTAAAAATATTTAAATAATAAGTACAATAATGAAAATTACCAAAATTAATAATGTATAATGTGATTAATACTTATTCATCAATAAATAAATGAGATTTTTATTAACACTTAATGATACTATTTTTTTTTACAAATTTTAATGCTTTTGTTGGTGTTGAATATAAAAATACATTTTTTCGTTATTCATAAATCAATTTTGTTATTTTAAGTTTGTTTAATAACATCTTTAAAAACAAATTATTGAAGTTAAAAGGGATGAACTGTTATATAACATCACTGATAATTTCTTTTGTTCTTATACTTATTTATTTCATTCTTCGAAGAATAAGAAAACCAAAATGCATGAGAGTTACAGTGTTAGTTCTTGGGGATATTGGAAGATCTCCACGAATGGAATTTCATTCAATTGAACTTGCTAAAATATGTCCTGTTTCTATTGTTTGTTATGAAGAAACACAACCACTTTCTTCTATTACTGAAAACCAAAATATTGTGCGTTATCCTCTTCATATTTTACCACCTTTAAAATCAATTCCATTAAGAACGATTGTATGGATATTATTTTATGCACCACTTAAATTCTTTTATTTGGCTATTCAATTACTTTATCTTCTTTTATTCAAACTACCAAATTATAGTCATATTCTAATTCAAAACCCACCTTCATTACCATCATTCATCATTGCTGCTTTTGTTAAATTCATTACTGGATGTACTGTTATAGTTGATTGGCATAATACTGCTTATTCCATTGTAATGAATGTTCATCATTTAAAAGAAACTAATCCGTTAATTGTTATGCTAAAACATTATGAATTACTTCTTCCATTATATTTTGATTATCATTTTACAGTGACAAAAGCAATGAAAGAATTTCTTGTTCAACATAACTTCAAACATGAAAAAATTACTGTTCTTTATGATAAACCATTTATTAATATTAATTCAACACAGTCACAAAAAGTAGAATTATTTTCTCGTTTAAAAAGTACTTTTCCAACATATTCAATTCCATTTATTGATTCATTAATTCAAGATGATGAGAAAATTGTATGTGGAGTAAGTTCAACAAGTTGGACACCAGATGAGGATTTTGGTGTTTTATTTGATGCATTACTAAGTTATGAAAAAAGTGAATTAAATCTTCCTAAGTTAATTGTTTTTATTACTGGAAAAGGACCATTGAGAGAATTTTATGAGAAAAGAATAGAAGAAGAAAAAATGAAGAGAGTATGTGTTATTCCCATTTGGCTTTCACATGAAGATTATCCTTATTTATTATCAAGTTGTGATTTTGGAGTATCTTTACATCAAAGTTCTTCTCAACTTGATTTACCAATGAAAGTTCTCGATATGTTTGGATGTTCATTACCTGTATTAGCAAGAGGATATCAATGTTTAAAAGATGAGTTAGTTGTTGAAGGTATTTATGGATATTGTTTTGATACCTCTGAACAATTAGCTGAATTAATGATAAATATTCTATCTGATGATAAGAAATCAGCAATGTTCTTTGTTTCAATGAAACAACGTTTGTTTATTGTTATTTATTTCAGTTTGTTATAAGTCAATTGAAGTTACTCAATAATAGATGTCATTGAAAATACAAAAGTTACTTGGAGTCAGAATTGGAAGAATGTTGTTCGTCCACTTTTTCTAGCTGAACAAGAGAAGAAAATACAATAATTGAGATTCATTCTTTACCACTTTTATTTTTTTATTCTTCTTTCAACAATGTATTGAGAATAACATATTTTTTAACAAAAGAAAAAATAAAAATGTTTTTTTTTTAAAGAAGTTTTTAGAATATGAGTTGAGGGCAAAAAATCTATTTATAAAAAGAGTAAAGAGTAAAACTTCAATATTCATGTTTGACTATTATTTAAACCCCTACAAAATCTACAACTCTCAATCTTAATTCTTCAGAAGAATAATAAAAAAGAAATAAACAACTTAATGCTCCCACAAACAATTAAAACTACTTTTTCTGAGCTAAAAAATCAACATTCTAATGCTCTTATGAACCAAATGAAATACAAATCAGAAGAGTCTCAAACTAAACTTATTAGTTTCTTAATGTATGTGTTGTGTAGTTTAGGTTATACCTTTGTGGTGAGAAAACCAACCAAAGTAAATTGCCAACGCATGAGTATTATTCCAATTTGTGAAATAAGAGACGTTTTTGGTAATGTTGTTTTTAATGAAAACCTTTTGAAAGAAGATGAAATTATGAAACTTGTTTGTCAAGTAAAAAAAGAAAATTTACATCAAAGAATAAAATCAAAATACAGTAGAGTCGTTTGTGCTAATTTTATGACTCAAACTATTGACCAATTCCCAAATACTTCTTTCATTTTTGGAATGTCAAAAAAGACTTGTGAAATAGAAACTCAATGTGGAAATATCCACCTTCCTGCTTTCCCAAAAATTCAAGCAGTCACTATAAACAACTTTTTGTATGATAAAAATGCTATGGAGAATATTGGTTCTCAGTTTTACAAATCATTGATTGACCAATCTAAAGATTTAAAGAAACTCGAACAATTCGTTGTTTCTCCATTGGTTAATGCTGTATGAGACATATTTAATTCAATTCTTATTGTAAAGTTGGTGTCTCTTTATCAAAGGATGTACCTGATATAATAAGGAAGAGTTTTATTACTTTCACAAATACGTCATACCTTTATAACTAAATATCAGTAATAATATCTTCTGAATAACATTACTAATCAAATCAGCACAGTGAAAACTGAAAAGAAGATGAAGAAAGTGATAATCAGATTATATAAACATCGAGTGATCTACCAAATAACATCAATAAAATAATGAAAGCATTACTTGTTATATTATGTATGTATTTAGTTTCATCACTTGAATTGGTAGATGGTGAATGTAAAGGAAGACATGGATATTTCTGCTACACAGACAATGATAAGAAGAAGAATTATTATCTTTGTAACAAAGGAGTTCAAATGGGATGTGTTAGAACTTGTCCAAATGAAGATGTTTGTACTGGTAGAGGTGAGTTTGAAATAACAAAAGACAAGATTTGTGTTGCACTTAATGAGTCACACTGGGAGGTTGACCCATTACCAACTCCTACACCAAATAAATATCCAGTCAATTGTACTGAAGTGAAAGAAGGATATTATTGCTATGAAGAAGAGTCAAAAAATACTGAATATTATTGGTGTGTTAACAATGTTGGCTATGAAATGAAATGTCCTAATGGAACAACATGTCATACAAAAGACATTGGTTATAACAATCCATGTTATTAACTCATCATAGTCTAATTGATTATTGATGCATACTTTTATGTTTATTATTTATCATCTCTAAACAACGAGCAATGTAATCAAATAACAGACATAACTTGACTCATTATAATAAGTACAACATAATTTATTACTAGTTTATTCATCAACTATCAAACATAAATTATTTCTTCATTATTATCTTTTGTTCTTTAATAAAATAGAATATTTTTTAAATTCATATTAAGAATTATATTAATATTACTGGATAACACAATTTCATTCGATTTTATAACGTTTGATGAATGTGAAATAAAGCAAGTTATGTTTTTCTTTGTTTCATTGCACTAAATTCATTTAAATCAACTATAATATTCTTTGGGTTTGTTTTGAATGACTCACCTTTTTATTTTGACAGAATTTCATAAGAAATGGTAATTAGTTATTGTTATTTTGTATTTGTTGTTAATTATTACTATTCTGTTAATTGTATTTATTGAATTGATATTCTTCCTTTTATCATTCCATTTAATATTAATTGTATTTATTTTATTTTATTTTAGTTTTGATTTTGTAGTTTATTGACTGTCATTAATATTTAATAAGATAAATTTAAAGCAGTGTTATTTAATTACTCATTTATTTTGAGTGTTTGATAATCATTCATTCTCATTCCTTCATTTCATCATTTTCATTTTTGCTGTTAATTATGTTATTATTAGTTTATATAAATCCACTTTGATCCACGTATACATGAATACATGAATAAGAAAGTGTGAATAACAGCCAACACATCAATAAGCCAACACATCAACCATACTGAGTATTTAAAGGAACTTGAAGAAGTAATTAGCATTTAGAAATAAGGTATGGATCCAAACAAATGGACAGATGCAACAGTTCAAATGTTCAAAGAATCACAAGAAAAAGCATTTGAAAGAAAGAATGCATATATCATGCCAATTCACATGATGAATGCAATTGTTGAAGAAGAGTCGAATATTATTATCCGAATAGTCGAGATGATGGGAGGTGATGTTAGTAAAATGAAGAAAGAAATACAAGAAGGAATGAATAAGATTGCAGTTCAAAATCCACCACCAGTAGAAATTGGACTTCATCCAACAACACAACAAGTGATAAGACGAGCAATAGAGAAACAAAAGACAATGGGAGATACATATCTTGCAGTTGATGTGATAGTAATGTCATTGATGGAAGAGAAAGAAATTAGTACGATAGTAGGAAATAGTGGAATTAATGTTCTGGAATTTAACAAAAAGATAATGGAAATGAGAAAAGGACAAAGTGTAGAAACAAAAGAAGCAGAGAGTCAATATGAAGCATTGAAGAAATATGGAAATGATTTAACGGCACAAGCAGAAAGTGGGAAGATGGATCCCATCATTGGAAGAGATGAAGAAATTAAACGAGTTATTCGTATTTTATCAAGACGAACGAAAAATAATCCAGTCTTAATAGGAGAGCCAGGAGTTGGTAAAACAGCAGTAGTTGAAGGACTTGCACAAAGAATTGTTAAAGGGGATGTTCCAAGTAATTTGCAATGTCGAGTTATTGGATTAGATATGGGAGCATTAATAGCAGGAGCACAATATAGAGGACAATTTGAAGAAAGATTAAAAGCAGTAATAAAAGAAGTTAAAGAAAGTAAAATACCTATTATATTGTTTATAGATGAAATTCACACAGTATTAGGAGCTGGAGCAACAGGAGAAGGAGCAATGGATGCAGCTAATATTTTAAAACCAATGTTATCAAGAGGAGAATTACGATGTATTGGAGCAACAACGTTAGAGGAATATAGAAAATATGTTGAAAAAGATCCAGCATTTGAAAGACGATTCCAACAAGTTTATGTAAGTGAACCAAGTGTAGAAGATACATTATATATTCTTCGAGGAATAAGAGAGAAATATGAAAATCATTATGGATTAACAATTACGGATTCAGCATTAGTTTCAGCAGCAACATTAAGTAAAAGATACATCAATGGAAGATTTCTTCCTGACAAGGCAATTGATTTAGTTGATGAAGCATGTGCTACATTATTTACACAAAAGAATTCACAACCAGAAGAAATAGATAGATTAGAAAGAAGAGAAACACAAATAAATGTGGAGAAAATAGCATTAGAAAGAGAAGTTAAAGAAACGGATGAAGAACATAAAAAAGTTATTGAAGAAAGACTTAAAGAAATTGAAAAAGAAATGAGTGAAAATAAAGAGAAATTAACAAAGTTACGAATTAATTATGAGAAAGAAAAAGGAGGAAGTGAAGAAATGAAAGAACTTGCAACAAAAATAGAAAGTATGAAACATAAAGCAGAAAGTACTAAAGATTTAGAAGTAGCAGCTGATTTGAAATATTATGCAATACCAGAAGCAGAAAAGAGATTGGCAGAATTAAAGAAACAAAATAAAGAAACAACAATGATATCATTACAAGTCACAGCAACACAAATAGAAGAAGTTGTGAGTAGATGGACAGGAATTCCAGTTACTAAAATGAATCAAAGTGAGAAAGCAAGATTACTGAACTTAGAAAGTGAAATACATAAACGAGTAATAGGACAAGATGAAGCAGTGACAGCAGTTAGTGATGCAATCATTAGAAGTAGAGGAGGATTAGGAAATGAAAAACGACCAATAGGAAGTTTTATGTTTTTAGGACCAAGTGGAGTAGGTAAAACAGAATTAGCAAAAGCATTAGCAGCTGAATTGTTTGATTCAGAGGAAAATATAGTTAGAATAGATATGAGTGAATATATGGAAAGTCATAGTGTGTCGAGACTGATAGGAGCACCACCAGGATATGTTGGATATGAAGAAGGAGGACAATTAACAGAAGCAATTCGTCGTAGACCATATAGTGTAATATTATTTGATGAAATTGAAAAAGCACATCCACAAGTATTTAATGTGTTATTACAATTATTGGATGAAGGAAGATTAACAGATGGAAGAGGAAGAACAGTTGATTTTAAGAATACGGTTGTGATTATGACATCGAATTTAGGAAGTGAAATAATAATGAAAGGAGTAGAAACAACAGGACAAGTTGATGAACAAGTTAAAGAACAAGTCATGGAAATAGTGAAGAAGTCGTTTAAACCAGAGTTTCTCAATCGAATGGATGATATTATAGTATTTTCACCACTTTCAGAGAAAGAATTGAAAGAAATAGTTAAATTACAAATGGGAGAAGTGATTAAAGTCATTAAAAAGAGATATCCAGGAAGTGAAGTTGAAATGACGGAAGCAGCAATAGAAGGAATCATTAAAGCAGGATATTCAATAGCATATGGAGCAAGACCAATGCGAAGATATATTGAAAAGACAGTAGTTACAGAAATAACGAAGTCAATAATAGGAGGAATGATGAAAGAGAAGAGTAAAATTAAGATAGGAT